AAAAGGAGACAAAAGGCAATTATTAGACAAGATAACAAAGTAATCGGAGGTGCAGGGGTCGGCTAAGCCGCCCATTCATCTAGTCGATGATAGAAAAAAGAGGGTCGGTTGTGTCGCCTTTCATCTGATAAGGGTTTAGGGAGTAAATGAAAAGAAAGTGTGTGAAAAAACCTTATCGGGACTCGACTTTTAATAGGAGAAAGGTCCAGATGTAACTCTTGATGGCCACCCCTCCTTCTAGCGCCATTTTGTTGACAGTAAATCGCCAACGGTTATAGTAAATGTATTTTAAGATGGTTTAATCGGGGTTACGATATAGTTATTGTGTTTTTTTAATAATATGTAATATGGGGATATCACAACAAAATAAATATGCGTAAAAATAAAGCAAGACACTGATATTGTCGATCGGATGTGGCGATCGACAAAGAGATAGTTTCGCCGAAATTTTATTAGAAGATTCGTGTAATGGAGATAGCTAAGTATTTTTGTATGTGATCTTCAAGAGATCAGACATGTATAAGTATGGGGAAGAATAGTGGTGATCGTGATGATCGGGATTGACACTTTTTGGCATTATTTCGATGGACTGGCCAGCTTATTTCGGACTTGATGATCGGTATTTATACACGATAAAAGTAATGATGCATTAAATGCAGTGTGCCAACTAGGGGCGTAGGGTGGACCTGCGTGTTTTCACGCAAAAGTGGATGGGACAGCTCGGATGGTGCTATCAACTTTATCAGCGTATATTAAGATGGCAAAGGTGATCGTCAATCTTCCCTAAGACGCTTCCGTGAATGATCGTTAGGCTGATTGGGTGATCGATAACTCTAATGGTGTTTTCTTGGGCCGTCAGCGGGATGACTTCTGTGTTTTGGGTCTTGTCTGTTTTATGGTCTAAGATTTATATGTAGGCCAAGTCTTCCTCTTGATCGGATATTTTCCAAATGCACCATTCAACGCTAGTATTTTTCTAAGAGCTTCTTTGGATTCGCTACCACTCACCAACACCTAGGAGATATTCATCAGGTTTTCTTTTAAGAGCTTTTCTAATTATGTTACTTCAAAAAAAGAAAAAAATATCATGTCAACCTTGCAACACTGTACTCCCCCAGATTTTATGATCTTTTTTTTTTTCCTTATTTTTATTTGTTGGGTTATGGTTGTTAATACATAATTTTGATAAAATATATACCATTAAATTTATAGTATAATTTTTGAAATGTATCAGTTTTTTATTTATTTTTTTCTTTATGTAAATTAATATGCTTTTTGATAAAGAGTGTACAAATAAATACCAACAACACATAATTTAATCCTGCACCAAAATAATAATAATAATAATAATTTAATCAACGACTTAGATTATAAATTGAAATTTTCTTCAAACTTAATGTTTTAGTAAATACCAGATACATGTTTTAGTAAATAAAATAATCTAATAGAAATGTTACTATATTTATTTTAACTTTTATTTTTTATTAATTGTGTAATGATAACTTAAATATTTAAATATGTATAAAATAATTTATTTAAGTTAAATTTATATTTTAATAAAAAAATAAAAGAAATATATAAGAGGAAAAAAATGACTCATCCAATCTAATAGAGCTTTCCATGTAGAAAGAGTTCTAGATTTATTCTGTCTCTTTCATGCCACATCATGACAAGTGGAAGTAAAAATTACCGTTGGAGAAGCTTTTTATCGCACCGTCTCTACAATTCTACAATTGAAACACAGTTGCAGATGCTCTTAGGGAGCCGTTTGAGAACGGAACCGTGTATAATCGGTTTTGATTAACCCGTGTAGGAGTAGACAACCACTATTTAAGCATATTTATAATCGATTTGAGACCGAATGAGATAATTAAATACAAGAATGAGGAAATTCATAAAGTAAGAGAATAAACAGAACAAAAGGATGATAGGATCTTACGAGAGAAATAAAATATTAGGAGCTACAAGAGTTGATTGTTTATCTTGAGAAAGAGTGGAGATGGAAAGATAAAAATCAATCCACGATCTAACTTGTTCGAGAAAAAAATAATAATAATTTAACGATTATCTTTACGATTGATAAAATTACATAAGGGTTGGATGAATTCAAAATTTTCATGAAGTAATTCCAAGGAAAAATTAGCCTATAATTTATCTTTCGAATTTGATTTTATTCATAATTCTAGGCGAACAAGCTTTTATTTCTTAGATAAATTAGTTCTTAGTTTGATTTTTTAATTCATAATCATTATATGAATTTATTTAGTCAAGATAATATTTAATCATTATTATCATGATATTTAATTACACTTGTGGACATCGAAAATAAATAACGAATATATTTTTAACTACAAAAAAAATTATCATCTTCTAACTTAATTCATTAAATTATGATAAATAAATTATATAAGATTTTTAGAAAAACATGATATTTATGCAACATTCACTGCATATAACTATGAAATGTACTCAATTTTTTTATGGTAAAAAAAAAAAATCTAATGTTAAGACGTAAAAACGATCAATTGTTCTATACATGGTAAAGAAGAATCAAATCAACTTTAAATCAAAACTAACTAGTACGGATAAGAAATATTTATTAATATTTATAAATTACAAATGCTCATTAAATAATATTTATAATTAGAAATATGGAATCAATATGTAATATAATTTACCTATATTAATTTGTTAAAAATGTTATATGAAATTTAAATTGTGTAAAATTACATAAAACATGTCTATTTAAAATTAGTGCATGACCCGTACGGTGCAAGTAACTGATAGTAAGTTTCATTATATTCATTTCGAAATAGGTTTCATTTTAAAATTTTTATTAAGAAATTTGATTTGACTACAATGTGATTTAAGTAAATACAAACCTTATATACACACAAATACACACACAACAAATAATTTGATATGTTCACGCACATTTACAAAGAAGAATCGACCATAGTATTCTCTAGATTTTTCTTCATTAATATCGAGTAAAATGCTTAGCAATATTGAGATACCATTTATTACCATGAGCGGGTATATTGGATCAAAATATAGTATACTAAATAATTTGATTTCAAACTTTACCGATAAAATACAAAAATTATATTTTGTTTAACCACAAAATTAATTGTCCAACGTACAAAACAAAATCAAGACTCACGTTTATTATAGATAAAATAAAAAAGTTCCAAAAAATATTTATTAAAAAATAGTTAAATAGAAACTAACATTAACACAATTATTCTGGAATAATTTTATAAGAAAATATAATTGAATAAATCAACCGAATTTACACGATCTACGTAATTAGGGTATCTTGCAAATGTAAATTTTATGGTCTAATTATCTCCTTAATTATCCACGATTTGAAAAATTAAATACACAAAAAATGAATAGCGTTATTAAATAATATTTAAATAAAAACTATCATTAACACATTTTTTAGAACAGTTTTTTGCAAATTAAAATTGTATTAATTATTTAAAGATTGAATAAATCAGTCGGATTTACAAAATTTGGCGTAATTAAGGTATAATTAAAATGTATTTCACCAAAGAATTACACTAAAAATATAAAACACTTATTAAATAATAAATTACACAATTTAGTTAGAAATATTTTACCAAATCACACAATTGATATTGCAGTCGAAATTCCCATATTTGGGTAAATCAGTCAATTCACATGATTTGAATAGTTAAGGTATCTTAAAAATGGATTTACCATAAGTGATTATTTGAAATGTACCATAAATTTTTAAATTAATTTAAGTATTTAAGGTATCTTAAAATTGAATTTTTATATGACTTAATTATTTTCTTAAATAATGAGCCGCAATTTCCATAAGTGATTATTTGAAATATACTATAAATTGCTAAATTGATTTCCCGAAATAGTAAATAGATTTTTTTTGAAGGAAATAGTTACTATTTAAAAAATAATCAAACCTTTAGATATTTTGGCAATAGTCGCTATAATATGGACATTTTTTTTATAGATATATTTATTGACAATAGAAAAATTAATTACAAAATTTCTTCTTTTAGTAATTTTTTATTTTTTTGGAAAAACACATACTACTTTAGTTAATGATTAACTTTATATATTTTCTCTTTTGGCAAGCTAAGACCATCTTCAATCATTTACTTTACTCTACTGTAGAGTTTACTCTACTCTAGAATAGAGAATGCCAAAATTTAACTTTCGTCTCCAACCATTTGCACTATATTTTTTACTCTATATGAAATATACTAATACAAAATTAAATTTAAATACAACTATAAATCAAAATTTTAAATTATTTTAAAAAATAAATATTTTTATTCATGTATATTTTATCAAAATAATATTTAGAAATAAAAATCATTTTCAAAACTAAAATTTGAAAAAAAAAAAAATTGTAGCACGGTGAATAGTACTGCATTACATATAACGCAATAATGTTCATATATTCAGAGTAGTACGAAAATAGATCGCAACATTAAAACAATTTTTCTGCACTACCTTGAGTAGATTACAAATATAGCGCAAGACTAGAGTCTAAAAAATATCAACTTTGTACTCTAGATAAAAGTTATTATTAATGTGTTCTATAAAGTGTCTACAAGATGTATATAAATTATTAACATAGTATCTCAATTCTTTTTACCCACAACTTCTCATGGCACCCTACTTATTAGAGGAAATATATACTAAATAGGCATCGTTTACTTTGGTTGATAAGATTGATAAGGTAACTTATACCTCAATATCCGTTGTTTACTTTAATTGATTGGGACAGGAAATTCTGACCTGTAATCTCACGTGGCGGCGGGACCCACAACAAAATCCGCTGATGCCCGATTATTTCTCTCCTGCCTAGATCCTTGATATTTTTATCCTTTACTGTTCATGACTTTTTTGCCTCAAAACTGTGTGTAAACGGACGAAATTACCCCTTAACACCAATTTAATTACAAAAATCTACCATATTAATCTTTGAATTTTGCCCAAACCTAGCAGACGACATTGCAGAGGAGAACATCGACCTCATCGTCATTCCCATTATAGGTAAGCTCGAATGTTACTTTTTCTTTGCTTTGTTTTCCATAATGCAACCATATTAAATTCTGTGTTGAATTTTGCCCTACCATAGCAGACGCCATTGCAGAGGGAAACATCGAGCTCATCCCTCGCCAAGGTAAACTCGAATATCACTTTTTTCTTTGCTTTGTTTTCGATAATGCAAACACCACTTCGATTTCGTCGCTCTGTTCGTAAACCCTAGGTTTTCAGAGTCGGGTTTTGTCGGATTCGGGTTTTCAGATTTCTGTCTTTGTGTGCTTCTCCTCGCCGATTTTGGGTTGGGATTGTTAGGGTTCGGGAGCTTTTTGAAATAGCAGGGCAATTAGATTTCAGCAGAGGGTTTGAATCGATCTATGGGGGTAACTTAGGAGTTTTGTGTTTTATCTCATAATTTTGTTCATAAAAGTAAATGCTTGACAAAAATCACAGATTTTAATCCTATATTGTAAACGTGGGACTGATAGTGACGTGTAAAGTAAGCCGGATTAATGTAATATATATCACAGGTGCGCCTAAAAATTGGCGCTACATTTGCCCTTCGGAACCTCAAAGCTTTTCAAATATAATTACACAAACCTTGCACTTTGCCACTCGCTACTCGTCAAGGATAGACATCCTTTGTCTATCAAGTCAAGGAGACCACCAGGGAATACTTGAAAACAGACAACTGTAGCGAAGGATTATAGTTTTATTAAATCATTGAGTCGTCTCTCTTCCCAAGTCAAGACAGGAATCCTGACATGTTACACCTACTCAATTTTGAAAATTATAGCCATTCAATAGATGTAATTTGTCAAATAGGAAGGTCTTGTTGAAAACTAGTCACCTCAGGAACAGTATAGATAATGATACCTCCAAAGAACAGTATTGTCAAATGATGATGATAATAATAATAATAATAATGAAATGAAAAATAAAAGAAAGTACAATATTTTAGCATACCAGCTTGGTTGCAGCAACAGACTGTCGTTGCCTCTCCCTCTTCTCACGTTGGCACTCTCCACACCAGCTGGAAAAGTGGAAAAGTCCCTCTGGTACTTTCTCAGCTCTCTAAAAACCGAACTGTAGAAAAAAGAATTGCACAGAAGTGAGAACTTACATATAATTTATTTTTCTGATCCGAAATAGACATTGCAATGCAATCCTAGACTTAAAATGGCATCATTAGTTGCAAAACACAATTAATTATAGAAATTTGAACAGTCCTGCACTGTAATATTCTTAGGTACACATCACAACCTGTGCACGGAACTTAATTCGAGGAAACATTTCACTCGAGCTTTATGTATAGAATACAAATTATTACATTGCAGGATCATGTAGGTAGGCTTAGATAGTTCAGATACTCGGTTGAAGAATCTCGGTAGACAGCAAAACTTACGCACGCCACAAATTTAGGAAAATATTTCATTCCACTAGAACTAACAGAATCTATTTGCTTTTAGCTAATTGACATCCTATTACATTAATACACTAGGTAGGAAATAAAGTAGTATCAAAATACCTCATCAAAGAGATAACGTCCATGACACTGACATTGGTGATGGTCATAGCAAAGAATTGCTCTTACTGAATTTGAAATACATGTTCTTTAACTATAGATGTTTTGTACTTGAGGGTCCTGGGAAGGAGTGGAAACCCAAATCTACAAACCCCCATATTGGTCGAGGTGACACTACTGTAGTACTGTTGGTTCATATATCTATATATATATATAGAAAGAGAGAGAGAGAGAGAGAGAGAGAGAGAGCAAATGGAAGAGTGTTTTTACCTTCTACACCATAACAATAAGTTGACCCTATTGCCAGCTGTGGTGGCTCTGGCGCCATGTCTATGGTGACCACGGTGAAGAACTGCACGCCCCTGGACGTGCGAGTAATCAAAGATTTCCTACGGAAGCCAATACAAAGTCAAATTCATTGATCAAAAAATAACTTGAGCATAATATTACTAGGTTACACAATATTAATGCTTATCAGCTGGAAGACTTAACAATATATAGTTCGTTGCAGATTTATTATGTTCCATTGGTACGCTGAAGTTTCACAACGATGCTCAGCACTCGAGTCATACCTTTTGAGGAAGGTCTCCGAACTGATAGCAACAAACAACGAATACTGAAGATCAATTATATTAGCCATAATAAAACTCAGCTTAAAGTAAATTATTTGCCAAAGTACTTCTCACTCCTTATTCCATTGAAAAAAAAACATGCAAGAAGAAGCAGACAAAGATTGTCAAAGCAGCCATTGCGAGAATTAACTCTATTTCAAAACAAATGTTCTCTTGGCACGCCGAGAAAATGAAATAAACACGCAATTATGTTGCGATTGCATATCCATCAAGTAAATCTGCACATACTTATTTGCCGACAAAATGGAAAGAAAAAAACTCACGCGAACTTCGGCAGGTCGTGTTAAACAAAGAAGATTAGCTCTATATTCCGGAAAACTGAAGTGAACGCCTTCAATCTCTGTTCCGATGATAGCGATTCATCATTCATAATCTCGCGATTACATCAGATTTAGCTCAAACGCAGAAGTGTATAATATAGCTGGTAATGGAGTAGTACCTTGACGTGACACCTGAGGAGCGGAGAATGCTGCAAATGATTTTGCAAAATTAAAAGGTGGCGGTATTTATACAGAAAAGTGGCCACGTTCTCGTTCTGTGTGGCCACTTTTCTGTATAAATACTGCCACCTTTTAATTTTGCAAAATCATTTGCAGCATTCTCCGCTCCTCAGGTGTCACGTCAAGGTACTACTCCATTACCAGCTATATTATACACTTCTGCGTTTGAGCTAAATCTGATGTAATTGCGAGATTATGAATGATGAATCGCTATCATCGGAACAGAGATTGAAGGCGTTCACTTCAGTTTTCTGGAATATAGAGCTAATCTTCTTTGTTTAACACGACCTGCCGAAGTTCGCGTGAGTTTTTTTCTTTCCATTTTGTCGGCAAATAAGTATGTGCAGATTTACTTGATGGATATGCAATCGCAACATAATTGCGTGTTTATTTCATTTTCTCGGCGTGCCAAGAGAACATTTGTTTCGAAATAGAGTTAATTCTCGCAATGGCTGCTTTGACAATCTTTGTCTGCTTCTTCTTGCATGTTTTTTTTTCAATGGAATAAGGAGTGAGAAGTACTTTGGNAAGATGGAATAAGGAGTGAGAAGTACTTTGGCAAATAATTTACTTTACGCTGAGTTTTATTATGGCTAATATATATGATCTTCAGTATTCGTTGTTTGTTGCTATCAGTTCGGAGACCTTCCTCAAAAGGTATGACTCGAGTGTTGAGCATCGTTGTGAAACTTCAGCGTAGCAATGGAACATAATAAATCTGCAACGGAATCCTAGCAGCATGTTTGCTTGTTGTAAAATATTATAATATCAAAGATTTCAATATATATTATTTGGTAGTGTAGTTTATTGTTCTCTGTCATATCTTTATAAAGAAAAATTCGCTGTTGTATATTTGATCTTAATCTATTCAGGTGTCCCTGCTAATTTTCAGTTTCTCAATAACATTGGTTCACATATGGACACTTACGCATTGAAGGCAGTGACGGACTTACCTGCTCCATTTCGCTCTGCTTTTAGTTTCAGGTTCTTCTTTATTAATCTATTGTTCCAATACTATACTTGACATGGAAATCAGGTATATCCACTGACATGCAGATGGCCGTACCTTGATACTAGGAAAAACGGGTATATGCTAAAGCATTAGTATATTAAGAATCCTAAGAGGATGATTGCTAAGAGCAATGTTAGACATCTTATGCCTGAGAACATATTCTGTTCTCATAGGAATACAGACCTCAGGAGTTCAATCATGGTGACTTGCCAGATCAATAAGCAACACTAAGAAATGTTCCCATCCATGAGAGATCTTGCACTTTTAGTAGTTCAGTTGATATTAACATTTTGTTGGGTAGTTGATGTATATAACTGTTTGTGATTTCCCTCTTGTGGCTCTCAAAGGTTACTGTTATATCTTTTGGAATATGCAGGTATTTCAACTCGTTGCAGAGCGAATGTTTTCCTACATGCTACCTTTTCGATGTGAACATGGTCATTTCAGCACCAACTGGAAGTGGAAAAACAGTACTTTTTGAGTTATGCATTATGAGGCTTCTCTCCAAGTCCATCAATTGTGATGGGAAATTCACGCACCTTAAGGGGACCCTTAAAACAGTATGTCTCTGATGAATTATCATAATGGCTCCTTTATTTATGCCATTTCAGGTCTGTATTCTCAAATGCTGTCTTACTCTTTGCGTTCATTTTAAGATATCTGTACAAGTGTAATCGAGACATACGAAAGCCTTGACCTGTCTCTTGGCAGTAGAGAAACTTCATAATTTCCTTATTTAGAAAAAATAATAACTCAAAGAGGATATGCTATTCCAGTTATATGAACTTATCTTCTCTTTAGTTGCTCACTGGAGTAAATGTATTCTGTTATGAAGATCTACATAGCTCCATCAAAGGCATTGGTACAAGAGAAGCTGCGGGATTGGACTCAGAAACTTGGACCACTGGGAATACATTGCCTCGAGTTAACGGGTGATAATGAGTACTGTAGCATAAAAAATATACAGGATGCTGACATTATTCTTACCACACCCGAGGTTAGTGGCTAGAATACATATTTCCCCATCTTCAAATGATCTTTATGACTTTGGTTTAGACCTGACCTCCCTTCCTCACAGAAATTTGATGCTGTGACTCGTTATCGTATAAAAGATGGAGGCTTGAGTTTTTTCAGCGATATAGCACTTGTGCTTATTGATGAAGTTCATTTGCTGAACGACCCTCGAGGAGCAGCTCTAGAAGCAATAGTCAGCAGAATTAAAATGATTGCTCGCAGCCCTGAAATGAAATCAAGTTCTTTATCCCTTATCCGATTCTTAGCTGTTTCTGCTACAATTCCAAATATCCATGACCTTGGTAATACTTGGTTATTGCTGTTAAAATGCTTTACTTTCTGAACTTCAATATGGGGATAATGGTTGATACTTATACACTTACACATTTTGCAGCGGAGTGGCTTATGGTTCCTACTCAGGGAATTAAAAGGTACCCACAAGTCCCCTATTATTAGGTAAAAGCTCACCTTCAATTATTGCTAAGTTCTGTGACTTTTTCTTTCTGCAGATTTGGAGAAGAAATGAGACCAGTAAAGCTGACTACCAAAGTTTTTGGTATGTATATTTCCTTATCAGTAGTTCGTTGACTGTTACTATCAGTAATTTCACAAGTTTATGAACATGATGAAAATTGTTGGATAATGACAAAATGTTTTGACATACTAAAAGGAGATATGTCTTGTGTGAAGTTAAGGAAAACTAGTTTTTTACAGGATACGCAGCTGCTAAAAATGATTTCTTATTTGAAAAGGTATGGTTGGCAATACATGATTAAATTTGTGATGATTTTTTTTCCTTCCATCTCTAAGTTTCTTATATTATATCACATTTCAAGATTCTTTCGTATTTCCTGCTGATGAACTCCTTGTTTTGATTGTTCAGCGTCTTCAAAACTACATATATGGTAAGCCGGAAAACCTCACTTTCATCACACTTCCGGTAGTTAAATTTTTACATAGTATTTTAAAGTGGTATAGCAGATACAATAACCAGAAGCCTTCAATCTTTAGATCTTCTCATGCAATTTTCTGGAGGAAAATCTGCCTTGATCTTTTGCTCCACCAGAAAAGGAGCACAAGAAGCTGCACAACGACTCTCCCAGATAGCAATGACTTTTGGCCATTCAAGTCCTTTCATCAAAAGCAGAGAACAGCAGGAAAGATTAAGGGAAGCCTCATTGTCATGTAGTGACAAACAAATGCAGTCTTACATACTTTATGGTGGTACGGTATTATTCTTTTCTTTTTTGTGAGCGGTTAGGGTCCATGAGTATGGTGTAGTAGGAAGGTTTGAAGAAGGTTAAATCAGAGTAATTTAATGTTCAATTTCCAGTTTAACTTTGACATCTGCTAATTGTGCTTGCACAGTTGGATATCATAATGGTGGACTTTCTATGAAAGATCGCAATCTCATTGAAGGACTTTTTCTGAATGGCGATCTTCAAATTTTGTGCACCACCAATACTCTGGCCCATGGAATAAATCTACCGGCACATACTGTTGTCATCAAATCCACACAATATTTGTATGTCCTCTATCTTTTCTTAGCATTTCTTTTAAACCTATTATAGGTATCAATGGTGGGCGGCAGTTCATCCATATTTTCTTAGTTGTATTTTGCCCTTATGATCAGGCTTTTATCAACTGTCTTTGAAAATTTTCAAAACCTCTGCCCACGTACCTCATGATTTTTTTTTTCTTTTGCCTAGGAGGTGATTAACAGTGCTAGAATTCTTACCTGGTTATTTTGTTCTAAACTTTATTTTTATGCTAGCAACAAGGAGAAAGGGATGTACATGGAATATGAGCGGTCGATGGTACTGCAGGTGTCAATATTTTTCAGATCTTAAAGAAAAAGATTTTATTTATTTATTTTTTTCACTCACAATCGATTTGATGACTTGGTTTTTGGTCAATCATATAAAACATGACCATTCAAGATATATCTATTTCGATCCCTGAAGTGCCTATCACAACTCTAATTCATGCAGATGTGTGGAAGAGCAGGCCGCCCCCCGTTTGATGACACGGGAATGGTCATAATAATGACGAGAAAAGAAACAGTAAATATATTTCCAATTAACGTTAATAGTTGCAAATTAATTACAAACACAAGTTTTTACCTGATGTAATGTTTTTCAGGTCCATTTGTATGAGAATTTATTAAATGGGTGCGAAATGGTGGAATCACAGTATGCCATACCTCTCCTTTTCTTCTGCCTCAGTATGTGTAATGTGTAGCTACGTTTGTACAAATCTGACTCAATCTTTTTATGGTTTGTTTCTTCCCAGGTTGCTACCGTGTATGACAGAGCATCTTACGGCAGAGATAGTACAATCAACAGTCTCAGATATCACAAGGGCCATTGAATGGATGAAATGCTCATACTTATACGTCCGAATGAAAAAGGCACGTTCTTTTAGCCAGACTCAGTTTCAGAAATTCCTTCATTAGACTGCATACTCAGAATTTTCATGCTACAATCAGAATCCTCAGAACTATTCAATTTCGAAAGGGATGACTGGTAATCAAATAGAAAGGCACTTACAAGGTAATCTAATCAATGATGGCCTGATATTCATCCTGTGTGTTCATACCCTGAAACACTTTTAAATGATTTTCCAGAGATCTGTGTTCAGAAAGTCAATGAGCTGTCACAATATCAGATGGTCTGGACTGATGAAGATGGTTTCCTCCTGAAGCCACTTGGTATATCAACACTATGCATCATTCTTGATTTTATTAGGTCAAGTATTATGATTTATTTCTCTTTATATTTTTGCAGAGCCTGGAAGGTTGATGACAAAGTATTACCTGAAGTTCGATACAATGAAGCACATTATACAGGCCCCGGCAAACTGCACCACTGAAGATGCACTTCACATTATATGTCGGGCAGAAGAAATCTCATGTATGTATGCCACCCAATTCGTAATCTTCATTAAGTTATGAAATCTGGATAGTACATGTCATTTGATCTGAAAATGAAGGGATACAACTGAGGCGGAATGAGAAGAAGCTCCTAAATGACATAAACAATGAGAAAGATGGTCGACTTCGCTTCCACGTCCTTGATGATAAAGGAAAGCGGAAAAAACGCATCCAAACCAGAGAAGAGAAGATATTTATTCTGGTGAATGATTGCTTGACTGGCAATCCTTTAGTGCGGGACCTATCCATGAGCCAGGTTTCATGATATTTTTATTAGCTTAAACCGTGTGGGTACTTTTGTAATTAATATGATATTCTTATGCATAGTAGTCTCAGGACTCTAATTTTGTCATTCATGAAACTCTATGCAATAGGACATGAACTCTATATGCTCAAATGGGTCTAGAATTGCGAAGTGCATGAAAGAGTACTTTATTTACAAGAAAAGCTATAGAGGAGCTTTGAATTCAACGCTGCTTGCCAAATGCTTGCATCAGAAGTTATGGGATGACAGTCCTTACTTGCTGAAACAATTACCTGGAGTTGGAATGGTGACTGCAAAGGTTCGTTTCTCAAACTGCCGATATCATTCGAGTAACTGACTGCATAATTTATTAAGAGCCATGACTGTTTTCTACTTTGTATACCTGGAAAATTCTGACTAGGCACTGCATTCGATGGGAGTAATGACATTTGATAGCCTCTTAGAAGCTGATTCAAGAAAGATAGAGCTGGTGACTGGTCGAAAATATCCATTTGGGAACCACATCAAGGATTCTTTGTTGTCTCTACCCCCGAAAGTTGAGATGGTTCTTGAGGAAACTGAGGGACAAAGGATGGGAAAGTCAAAGCTTCTGATAACTCTAACTAGGCTATCACAGCCATTGCAATCAAATAAGAGACACTATGCTGATATGGTATGCCAGTGATAAGTCTTGGTAGGAATAACTACAAAAACTACCCTCGAGGTCCTGAGTAATTCCAATATCAAGTGATCTTTTGAAACTAAGGTCCCGTCCACCAAAACATGAAAAGAAGCATTACAAATGAGGTTTATAATTATGTTACACGTTACCCCTCAGTAGTGTGCAGTTTTATACAATATAAACACGTGTCAAGGGCGGTATATTGATAATCTTAAAAAAATTGGTTTTCATTTTCTCGGAAGAGGCTAAAGCTTAGGAGTAGTTTTCGTAATTGTCTCTAGCTTCAATACGTAGTACTGTTTTACTGCTATTTTTCAAAAACTTGCAATGTAGATATGAACGTTTACATTTACCATCGTTTTTCTCATGAATTTGAATTTGAAATTTGAATTGTTTCTCAGATGGTTGGTGTTGAAGATGATAACCTCATTCTATTCTATGAAAAAATAAGGTATAGTAAATTGTTTTACCTTAGACTACAGATGCTAAAGATTGTTGGTTCTTATACCTCATTTCGTTATTTCTGAAATTATTATTTGATGATCCAGATTGGAGGACTTCTCAAGGTATGGAAACTAAAGATCCTAAACCTTTAGTTAGTTTGTTAAAAAAAAAAAAAAAAAATCCTTGTCCATTCATGATTCTCTTTTCCCACGAATAGATTCTGGCGTATGTGCACAAAAATTTTGTTTCAAACCATTGTGCCCCCCTTTGCAGTCCTTACTGTGCTACGGTGTTGTATTCAAGTCCTCGGCAAGGAAAGCTGACAATTAAAGTGGATCTAATACATGAAGAAATCAGTAACACCTTTCCTAAACTTACGTTCATGCACACACATGTGTTGTATTTTGTGCTGAACAATGATTGCTTTTTCCTGTTATGGCAGTTGGCATTGATCTACATCAAAAGGTTATTATCACGCCACCGTTAGACATAAAACTCACCAACAAACATAGACCAAAGGATCTCATCCCATTTTACCCCAAGGATGTTCACACCTTAAAAGACGATGAGGATCATGCCTTTGCTGCTTCTAATAAATTGATAGAGAACTCAGTTTCCATGTATGTATTATGTCCCGTTCATCAATAATTTTGCTCGTATATTAATCACGTGAACTAGTCTTATGGTTTGGACAAATTTCAAAAGGATCCAGCAAAAAGTACCTTCTGGAGGGTCTGTATTCACTTAAGCAATTCCATCTCTTCTGCGTGTTATTCGTAAAAATGAACCAAATCCTGAGAAATGGTTTATTTATAATTTTATCACATAACACTATTTTTAAATCATTACTTAACCATTTACATTACTCACATTGGATATTCCTGGCTTGCTATTGAAATTCTTACAGTCGTTGAATACTAAAAATTTCCCTGTTCTAACAAATGAGAAACTCTAACCATTTATAATTCCTGGTTCATTTTGTATAACACTCAACCATTAGATTTTGATTAACTTTTCGTGTCCAGGCCCAGCTTCAAGCTTATTGATGAAGATTTGGAAGATGGTAAAAGCCTATTTTCTCAGGTTATATTTTAGTTGCTCCCCCCTCTTACCATCACTGATTTGCTTTTCATATGTTGTAGACATGTCGGTTGATAAAACCGAGATTGATGACTGTAAAATTATAACGGAAAGTACTGTGTTCGACCATATTCGAACAAAGGCAAAGAGTTTGCCTGTTTTGCCAATGTCCAGCGACACACCTTCGCCATCTCTAGAAGCCTTCACACTTATCAGAAAACGCACTCGCGAGAGACATCATGAACTGGATAATGACATCGAGGTTTCAGGACTACAGAAGGGAAGTAAAATTTCACGAAATACTCAGTATTTTGAACTTGCCGAACCACAGCAGGACGAGAACTTGAATTTTTCGCCCGACAGGCTCTTTGACCTATTCAAGGACGCAGGTTAGAATTTAAGTTCCATATTTACACTCTAAGAGCCTCTGAAAGTATTACAAAACTCCACTTTCATTTAACAAGAAATTTGTAAAATAGTAAATTCTTGTGAATATGATAGATAATTTTTGTACAACTAAACCTCGAGGAATTTGTTATAGTGAATTCTTACTTCCATACTCAAGGTACGTGAATTTCCTGCAGATTTTTGGAATGTAGAAGACAAACGAGCGACTGAACACCAGAATACTGAGTCTGGAGCACTTACTCCTCAAGAAACAAGTCTTCAAAGAGTAAGAACATAAGGAGAAACAATTTCCAGGTTTTCAGCAGTTTGTAAACGTCATTTTACGTTACTGACCCTGGGTATGTGTACACAGGATGAGGTTCCTGTTACCTGTGTATCAACGAAAAAAGATGAAATTCAACTCCCTGTAATCTCTAGTCAAAGCGATTTACGAGAAAGACAGCTTTGCTCACTGGCAATCCCCGCAGAAGTTAAGGGACACAACTCATCCCTTGGGTTTCAGAGCATATTTTCTTTTCTGTAACTTTGTTATTAATTATGCTTTTATCCGAATAGCTTTGAAATTCAGTTGAAACTCTACGTAGAAGTACATGTCACAGTTGAAGATATGCTGGTATGTTGGAGTAGAAGGTGAACTAAACTAGATTTTCTTGTTTAACGTTTCTTTTTCTTTTGTCGTTTTTATTGCAACATTTCCTTTTGCCTATGTTCGGTCTCACGTGGGACCTACTGAAACCAGCCCAATCTGGAGAAATGTATATGGAGTTGTTTCAAATTCGGCATACTTATGGGCGAAATTTTTAACCAACCACAGGATTTTAAAATTATTGCATTCCTACGATATGAATGTTTTTATTTGCAGGTACGTACGTCTTCCCACCTGGTCGTCTTGGGTGGCCGGACGCTCGTCCGGCCCCGCCGGCCAGACATTATTTTTTTTTATTTTTTTTATAATAATAATTTATAATTATAAATATAATAATTATAATAAATTATAATTATAATAATAATTATAATTTAATTATAATGAAAAATTATAAATTATAATGAAAAATTATAATTATTTTAATTTAAAACAAAAAATAATATATTAATAAAAATATTTATATTAATTAATTTATTAGAAAAAAATTAATATAATTTAAAACAAAAAAATACTATATTAATAAATAAAAATTACATTAATTAATTTATTGGATAAAAAATATTTTAATTATCAGAATAATAATAATTACTAAATATTATTAAATTAATTGATCACTATTTAAATGGTTAAAAAATTTCACTAATTAATAATAATTAATTTCACTTAAAAAGTTAAATAAAAGATATATTAAAATATATATATATATATATATATTAATAATTAGTTGTACTAAAAAAATTATATATATATATATTTATTAAAAGATATATATATATATATATATATAAATATAGTTAAAGAATATATTAAAAAATGTATATGTAATTAATTTGCTAGCAAAAAAAATATTTACTAATTATTATTTTATATTTTTTATTCAGAGTGTTAGTAGACCTAGACATTCTGCCAGGGATGACGACGACGAGGTTAATGAATATTATGAAGGTTCTGGCCCCCGACACACTAGGAGTCGGGGTGTGGATGCGTCCGTTCGTCGGGAGAGGGACAGACAGACGATGATCGATCAGGCTCGGAGGATAGATGCGCCCGTTCGTCGGGAGAGAGACAGACAGACGATACTGTTCAACTACAATATAATTTTGTAATTTAGAGGAATTATACAATTAATTAGTTACGAAAATATTTTATTATTGTTATAATCAATTACTAGTGTGCAATCGAAAATCGCATCAATGGTACTTTTTTTTAAGTTGAATAGTTTTTTTTATTTGCTAAATTTCAGTTGAATGAGTTATTTTATTCTAACGTCCAATTTATAAAAAATTATTTTGAATATATAACATAATAATTTATAATAATATTATTTTTTTAAAAAAATGGTGTCCGGCCGGTCGCCATTTGAGCCGTCCGATTTCGGTGGCCGGACAACAATATTTTTTTTTTTTACTTTTTGAAAAAAAATACCAAGGACAAAAATGTCCAAAAGAACGGTAAATAATAATAGGAGCGGTGAATAGTAATGCCCTTAAATGAATTCTAGTAACAAATGTTGCCCGCTGAAGATTTTTGGTTTTTTTTTTTTGG